AATTATTCAAATGATTGACAGTAGAATTACTAGAATCTTCAGAACAAAGTCTACAAGAACTTTTTGCAGATTTCTCCCTGAACCCCATCAGTTCATCTCTCCCCGAACCCCATCAGTTCATCTCTCACAGTTATCTTTTGCTCCTCCTTTTAGATTGCAAGCTCTCACAGGCAGGGTCCTCCTAACCCTTCTGTATTGAATTGTAATGTCTCCCTTTATTTGGTAAAGTCATGCACAAACATTTGGCACTGTATAAATCCTGTATAATAACAACTTTGATATCGATATGCGTTCAAGATGTGCTTTAAAAGCCCAACTTCAGACCAAATGTTTTCTAGAGCGAGGAAGGGACTGAAACTTTTATTAATGCCAGTGTTCTCCTTGTAAAACTAATTTCATATTTGATAGGTAAGGGACAGTGAGGAAAATCTTTGCAATAGTGATAGAGATGACAATAAAACTTGAGAGGCTCCAACGCAGGGGTTGGCAACTTCGGCACACCAGCGGTTGTGGAACTAAAAATCTCATGACATTGCAAGACTGAGAACCACGGGCATTACTACCAGATGCAAAGGATTTGCAGTTTCAACACAGCTGGAGCGGCGAGGATGCCTACCCATTAACAAGATAGCCTTTGCAATGCTATCATACCAGAATACATTTTGGCCAAAGTTGGATTTTAAAGTGGACTGAAACTAGCGTTACATCTGCTTTAGTAGGCATTATAGGAGGTGTCAGTTCTCAGTCATGGGACTTGAAGCCTCAGTAGTAGTCACAATGAATTATGTCAGCATCCAGTGATCAGAGCTTCTGTCAGTCACATGACCTAACCACTGACTTCAGGACATATGACCTTGAATCAGAGTGCTCCAAGACCTGCTTTCCAAAGCTCACGGGCCAGTTTTTGCAGACTTTTCTACATCCTATCATGCTTTATCTAATAAAGAGGATGCAACTTTAATTGCAAAATAAAGGACAGACAATGCCATAGTTTTCAAAACGATCTTTATTTTGTTTGAAGGTCTAATACAATGTTTTAAAGCAACTTAAAACGAGACACAGAGCTTTATCAAAGCTATAGCTCAAAGTTTCAGAGGCACAACTTTATTAAATTGCCTTGTAAAGGCAAATTACTACTAACCATCCTTTCCTCCCCCAAACAAAAGACCAAAGTATTAATGGTGTTTAACAAAGTTAATTTTCTTTAATGTTGTATAAACATTGAACAGAATTTGAAATAGGAATAAAAAAAAAAATAGCAGCACATTGGGCAGCTAATGCAGTCGTACGGTGACATGTAATAATGAATTTATTGATGTAGCAAGTCATAAAGAGTGATGCATTCAGCTGTTGAGGATATAAAATTTGGCATGTTTTGCTTCTGCCAGGAAACGAGCAACAAAAACGCTCAGTTGCAAAGAGAACCTGAACACCAAACGAAGAGATGTGATCAACACAAAATACCATGAGCACCCAGGGCCTACAGGCGACAGTTGCCCAGATTTGAAATGAGAAAATATGTCAAGTCTAGCTCACTGACAGGCTACACCTAAAATAGAAGTGCCTTTATATGAGAGATCTTATAGAAACATTCACAAATATACATGTAAACATTTTAGACATGAGTTGGAACTGGAGATATCTGTGATAATATAAAAACAATTTAAAAAAAAATCACTCCTCACAACATGCTTCAGCCAAGTCATCTCTGTAAACAGGTGCAAGTCTTGTGTTTAAACCATTAGAACACCAACAAAAAATTTTGGGTCTCGGATTAACTGCCTGTTAGCCAATCAAAAAATAGTAAGAAAGGAGACAGCAGACAGTTAGACCTTGAGGAGGTTTGTCTAAGGATGGACTTTTTCAAGAGACAACTTAGCTGAAGCAAGAGGAATCTGCAGAGGTGTGGGGAAAGATTTCAAAAAAGATATACATCTTTCCTAACTTATCATGGAGGCAACCTTGTTGTGGGCTGAAATCAATAGTACGCCCTATCTATTCACCAGGATACAATAAGTCATAATAAAGTCACTATGTCATGAGGCAATAGAGCCTCATATCACAGCAAGTTAATCTATTACAGAAACAGGCTACATTCTCTAAAGTATTAGCTTCATAAACAAAAGGCCTGCTAGCACCATGAATGGCAATTGGTACACTTTAAGGCAGGACTGGACAAATGCCAGAAGCCAGGTAGCCAATGTGCCTTAAAAATTACAGCTAGCACCTAACGTTTTAGCTTTTCTCTAGTTGTCAATGGAGCTGGCCCTTAAAAAAATATCCTTTAGGCTCCTGGATTGGACAGACTGGCTCCTCAATTCCATATTAGTTTGTCCACCCCTGCTTTAAGGGCAAGGAAACATTCTATTTTTCGCCAATTTCATACCATTACAAAAACATGAAGGTAGCCAACGCTCACAGGCAATCATATTATCAACAGATTAAAAATCCACTCCCACTGGAGTGGATTGGTTACTTCCTGCTTTGTCTTTCCACATCTCATATAATAAGACCAAAGTCTTGCATTCAGCCTGCCATTTGTAATGGCACAATTTAGATATCTTACGTTCCAACCCAATCTAACTTGTCTCTTCATATAGCTTACCTTATGTTTTAGGTACATAGCTTTAAGAGTTATTTACAATAAAAAAAAATTCAGTGAGCTTTGGCACTCCAGAAATTGCTTAAAACTTGATCAGATACTTGCTGAGCACCAAGGGACACGTAGTCCAGCATATGGCTAGCTTGCTGAAAGCTACTCATGCATATTCACAATAATTTCATAGATTCAAAGGACTACTAAATGTAATGCCACAAGTTATTTATAGAAAAGTTTTTTTTTTACATTCATAAATACAATTTTTTTTTTAAACTGCCTTTAAAATCATTGAAAGACACCGTATTCAGCCTTTTTTAGGCAGTAGTTAGCTGATGAGACAGCAATAGTTCCCAAAACATTAAAGGTCTGACATTCTGTAAAGCTGAGAATTTTGGCTGCTCTGTTTCTGAACGCAAGATGTGTTATCACAGTGTTCCAACTTGTAATTTACTTTTAGTAGCCCTTTAAACCCCCCTTCTGCCAATTGATCTCCCTACTCTTACCAAACACATTATACACGTCATTTAAAAAAAAAAAAAAAGTCTCTCCTGAAACGATTGAGTATAGTGTTGTGCTTCAGAAATCAGCATGGTGTACCTTAAAAAGGATGAACAGTGCATTTCATAAACTTGGTTCTTCCTTATAGCTAAAGAATTTTTAATTATTCATGTAATATTACCGGTATGAGAGAGTAAAATAAACTACCGAAAAAGGGGAAAAAATATGGCTTAAAATCGGGAAAAAAAATAAAGTATGCTTTTCCCAGAGTCTTACGGAAAACTGCATATGAAAAATAATTGTCTTCAATCCTTAAATTATCAAAACGTCTATAATTATCAAAGTACCGAACACCTTCCTTTATCACTGGGAACCAATGATACAAGGTTACTATTCACTCATACAAGAACCGGGCCGTATGATTCCAGCACTTAACATTTCTAAAGAAATGAAAAAGTAGTATTAGATGTTTTAAAGTTTAACACAATGGCATTAACACGCAACCAATTTACAGACTGCGGAAGCAAATAAGTTTGTTACAAGAGTAGGAATAGAAAAAAAAGTCTGAGAATGCACAGACCCCAGAGTAAAAAGTTTGGTTTTTAGAATACGCCATGTAGTTCGTATAAATACGTTTGTGTCCAGGCCTTAAAAGTTTGCAAGCTATTTGTAAGTCCTGGAGCACCGACAATGCAAAATAACTGAATATCGTCGTGGAGTACTATTCACCCCGGTCTAACGTGTAAAGCAATGTACAGTGGCTAAGGTACGGTAGTCAAATAGCCAAAATAAAATGTATATTGTGTCAGGAAATACAAGGCAGGCAGTTGCAAATACTATAGAATACAAAACTCGAGCAAGGGTATGCCACTGCCTGAAACAGCCACCAATCAGAACAAAGATTACCTAAAAAAAAAAAAAAATTGACCTGTGTCACCGCAGGGTTAAAAGTGCTAAAACCGGTAAAATGATATGGTACAGCCAATGACACTTTGTATCCTACAGTATGCCACACTCATCTGAAAGTCATTCCATTAAAATCTTTGGAAACCAAAACTGGAGGTCAGAAATTCTGATTCAGAAAAACACAATTTATTCGGGGCTCTGAATAAGCAAAAAACCAACCCGGTCTAGCCATACCGCTCCAAACTGCCCCACTTCCTTTGTTTTCACAACACGTTTTAAAGTTTCTTTTAAAATCATTGCAGTGACATCATCTTATGGCAGGGTTAGCATGCTACACATTGAAATGATGGGTCTATCTTTCAGAACAAACGGGAAAAAGGCAGAAAGTTTTTTTCTTTTCTTTTTTGTGCGTGCTTTCTACCCGGTTAGAAGCAATAAAAGGACAGAGGACGAGAAGGCCCTAAGCATGTTACCAAAAGTACCATAATTCGAAACAAACCAGTATACAACACTGTCAAACTCTGATTCTTTGTTTATATATTTATATATCTTAAAGGTTTATTTTTTTTTCTTTATTAAGAAAGCAGCTTTGAAGCTCATTAGGCACTGCCCAACAATGCATTAAATCAAAGATTTGTAATGAACTTTTTTTTTTTTTTCTTCTTCTTTAATGTTGGGCTTAAGCCAAGTTCTCTATACATTGTATGCTAAAATAGCTCTTGTTTAAAGTTCCTAGATTCTCTCCGCTTCGAACACTCTTCTTTTTCCCACAACATACTGCACAATTTCTGAACAAAAAAAAAAAGACAACAAAACTACAACAACAAAAAAGGTAACATTTCACAAATAGAACGGTATGTTATTGATACGTATAAAACAAAAAAATAACAGCTTAAAGAAAAATGGATGTTGCATAGCATTAAGGATTCAGCAGTCAGCAAAATAAAAAGTAGACAGTTTGGTATTGGTAGGTTCCATTTTGATAGCTAGTCCCATCCATCTTGTCACCATCCATGTTAAATAGGTTCATTTTGTTTAATGACAGTCTTATTAAAACACTTCCTGGCACTTTGCTGCATATACTTGGCGTGGCTGAATTGCGAACCAGTGTCCTTTATGCAGACTTCTCTTTAGAAACGATGAAAAGTGCCATTTTGCTACATATGTTTGTTTTCGTTTAGGAAAATGAAACAATCTGCAAGGCTTTGTGGGGTAGATCAGGTGAGCGCTAGGCCACAAAGTCCTCCAAAGGCTGCAATGGAACGTTTTGTGTCCCCTCCCCCCTCCCCAAAAAAAGAAAAACAGTACTCTACTAACAAAAAGACACCTTGGCTTCTTGGATCTGCGGTGACCAACATTCAAGCTGGTAAAGCTTCAAAAGAATGTAAACAAGCACCATGGTGAAGGCCTCGAGGAACCTGCAGGCCCGGGAGATAGGCTTGTAATACCATATCTTTCTGTTGCTGTGCTTCTTGGGTTTCAAAGCAAGCACAATAGCTTAGAAACATACATTCACAGCTTAACACTCATCTCCTGCTTCCATGGCGAAAGAAAGCTCTTTTCTCATCTGAAGGTAGCTTTGATACTGCAGCTCAATCTTGTGAAGTAGGCGGACGAGGGAGCTTTAGGATTTTATTTTATCCCTTTGCCGAAACCGGCATCAGCTTAGTCGATGGAGAGTTTGTTAGGTGTTCATCGCCTTTGCTGTGCATATACTGGATATGCTAGTGTGACGTTCAGAGAGTCATTGTGCTGTACAAGTGACGTATGTTGGTAATGTAGCACCAGTTCTTTCAAAGAGTTATATAAGTTGTATGGTTCTGCAAATCCATAGCCCGTAAGGGTCTTGTTTATGACACAGTGCTTGACCTCCCCATCCGCTCTGCAAGGAAAAAAATAATCCATAAACAACCTATGCACTGTAGTAATTCAAGGACACATTGAGCATGATTTATGTGATCATTGGGTCCCACCTCTACATCTTTCAAGGTAATTTAGAAATTCCTTTTGTATCTTAATCTTGAAAGCTCAACTCCAGCCATACTGTATTGTTCTGGCTTGGGAGTTGGGAGGGTCAAAACCTTGGTCAGATTTTTATAGCGGTCTGTGTCCCCATTGAGATATGCTCCATCTTCTGGTCCTGCTGATAGGGCGTCAGAGGAACAGGAAAGTGACACTGGGTATAAACTGCAATAAACACTTTTAGTAGTCTGTGTGTGGATTGCCTGTCTGTACTTCCTGTCCCAGTGTCTTGTTTCCTGTGCTGGTGTCTCAAATAGAGTGATTACACTCTATTCAAATTGAAAGCCTACAAAAATGTTCTTAGTGTAGGGCTAAAAGTAAAAGGTTCAGAGAACTCGATAGACATTCAACAAAGTTTGGTACAATTTATAAATATACGTACACTACAGAGCAGGCGTAGCACCCTTGTTTGCTGCTCTCCCGTACAAGGAATGTACCATCGCGCTTTCCGCGTAAAAGATTCTCTGCTTGACTTCTGTTAATATTTCCTACGTTCCATGTTCTTTCATCGTGGTGGGGCAAGTCCTCATCTTCAACTGTGGAGTACTGACTAGAATGGACGAAAATAAAAATAAAGTTAATTAATGAAGGAGCCCATACAAATATTGTTTCTGCATTTCCTGCTCGAGTCAAAGTTACATAAATCTTTGTCCTAATGACTGTGGTGCAACACTATTCAAGTCAGAAATGGGGCCTTCAGCAGCACATAGGTTGCAGAACCAAACCGCTTGATTTAAATTTAAACAACTCCTGGACAGCTTATGGGCTTGTGTACATTACTGTTTTTTTTGCTGCTGACATTTGAGAAGCAGTTCTGAAAGGATTTAGAATGTTTTGTTTGAATTTTGATCTTATGGAGTTGTGTTCACCTGTTTTAACTGCTGCTTGTCCCATCTGAATTACTTTTCCTTCCCATAAAATTCAACGTGAATGCAAACAAGTCAGAAACATCTCAAATGCATCTGAAGTCTTACGACTCAAATTAAACACATGCTGCATTTGACTTTTTGATTCTGATGTCTTTGCACAGAAACACTAAAACTGCATCTCTACAAAACTGTTCGGGTATTAAATCTTTCTGCCCCAATTAGGTAAATATAAATGTGTTATTCCATAGTGATCTGTCAAATGAAATTCACGCAATTCTGATAACCATGAAGTCTAAAATAAGCTAAATGTGACATTTATGCAATAGCCAAGAATTTAAATTTGTCATTGGATACTGAGAAGGCTGCAAAGTGCTGAGCAATGATGAGTTTCATTCTACATGTGGCAGTCAGAACTAGAGTCTTAGTAACACTTACTCTTCTGTGTTCTCGCTGCCCAACCACTCGTTTAGTTTCTTCTGTCGAACACCTTTCTGTGTCAGCCACCTGAAACAAAGAATAAGCACAGAATTAGGTAAACCTATGTTGCTTTTACAAGAAGAATTCTACACTTTAAAAAAGTGAAATAAATATAGGAAGATCCTTACATTAAGTACTGGTCTCTGGTCTTCCTCAATTGTATGAGGTCTGGCTTAATACTATTCATACGTTTGTCAATCTCACGGTATTCTGCAGCCTGCTTCTTTAGGTCTTCCTCAAGTCTACGTTTACTGTCAACAATTTCACTGATTCTTGATTTCAGCTTCTCGTAATTGTGCAAGATCCTAGAAAAAAGAAAATGGTTCAATTATATGCCTAGCCCAAAGACAAATAAGATCATCAGAACATATTTGCATTATAATACATGCATATTTCTAAATGGTTTAATCCCTTTAATATTGCAAATGTTGATATGCCAGAAATACGGTGTGCTCTAAACCTCTAGTGTGGGTTGACTACACCCTGAAATCCCAAGCAATGTTGTCGGCTTTACCCGAGTACTCTGCTGGACTACATAACTCCACCTACCCCCAACCCTTCTGTCCCACTCCACATGCAAAGTGGGATTTCTTTCCCAGCAAAACAATGTGGCTTCCCTAACTCCCAGGAGCCTGGCACTGCACTGTGTATAGGGAAAGGACTCTTGGGGGATATAGATCAATCTTGGGGTGTAGCTACATTAATAGGAAATGAGCTCCAAAGCAGATGTCCTTGAAGGAACTTTACAAGACTGCTGATGATGTCACAGAAATTTCTTGTTACAGGAACAAGGTACAATACATGCTTTAGAAGGGAAGAGCAAGGTTTGGGGGTAAATTTGGGTCATGCCTTTTCAAATCCTTTAAGAGTCTATTACTTTGCAAATACATTCTGCTAGTCTTTAAACCAATTTAAAACCTTCAAAGGGCCACATTACTCTACAGATTAGCAAACACTTGGTTGTAAAGCACCTCCACCAACTCTTTCAAGTGAGAACACAGTGTTCTGAGTCTTAAGAAGGACTTGTATCACTGGAAAACAAATCTTTTTACAAGAAAGGTCTTCTATTAGAAGTACAGAAATCTTTCTACACTTGTGGTCTAGCATCCATGGTGCTTGTTCCTGAACTTCATCAACTTGAAGTTGACTCTCTTTTCAAAAGCAATTACGAAAGTACATTACAAAGTTGGGTACCTTTGCAAATCAAAGTCTCTGAATTTGCATCCCTCAATAACTTTATCAGCATAATGACATCCTTACAAAACTCAAAGATTTAGTCTTATCGAGTAAATGAAACTTGTGACTTGCATACCTCTGTATTTCCTTCTCATTTCCCTCGCGACGGAATTTGTCTATGTACTCCTTGCTGTACTTTTCTTGCGTTTGACACTGTTCTTCAAATATTTTAATGGTTTCATTAAATGCTTCAATGGCTGTTCTTTTCATTTGAATTTCCTGCAAGAGTCAAAAAAGCTTTATGTTATATCTAGCACGGAGACCATAGGCCTACGGAATCATGAGTTGGGAGTTTAAAAAAAAAATCACATGAATTGAAAATGGGTCAGTTCCTATATTAAGGTGTTGGGAGTGCCTTTGATGTCTGTTGACCACTGAACACTTTTCAGGAGCTTCATTCTCCAAGTCATCAGGCATTCACCAACCCTTCAAATCTCTAATAAGCTATTTTAGGGATTTGTAAGTCAATAACTAAAATATGTCGCATTTTACCTGAGATGTCCTGGTGTAGTCCTCATACAGTCTATCATACTCCTGATTTTTCTCTTGGAATTGCAGGTTATACTCGTGTAACTTCTTTCCAACAGCTTCTATGCTGTCTTCTTTTACTACTTGATCCTTAAAGAAAAAAAAAAAAGAACAAGGCCGTTATTGAATGGTTCTAGTGGGAACATTTTGAGACCAGATAATAATCAGCAACATTAGTGGAAAGCATAAAATCTTTGCCTACCTGTTGTAGCCTTGACACTGCATACGTGAGCCTGACATCCAGTTTTGGGTTGTATTGGGCCAAAGACTCGTTTCCGTAGTGGGTAATAAGTTCAACCACCGAGTTGAATGTAAATGGTTCAGAAAAGCCATATTTTCCATCTCGGTGAAAGATTTTAATGAGTTTGTTATTTCCCCCTTTCCTAAAAAAAAAAAAAAAAGTAATCAAACACACTGGGGTTAAAAATCATGTATGGAGAAACAAAGACCTGAACTTGTGACAGCTGACTGAAACGGTACATAAAAATCATAAGGTCATGCCTTCTCACCTTAGTGTAAGTGTGTAATCACCATGCATTTTAGTAGATGCATCTCGTACCAAGAAGGTACCATCAGTGGTATCACGTAGTTTCTCATTAACCTCCTCCCTGGAAGAAATAAAATAGCAAATTACAAACTTTCAACCACAGTGCAAATACTTTTGACAGCACAAATCTCTAAAACAATTCAAATGCTCATAATACAGTAGAGGGCCATGTGTAAAGTCAAAGTAGCAAAGTGCAGGTCCAGAAAAAAAAAAAAACCCTCCCACAAACACATGGCTAGACATGCTGCAACAGGATATCTATTGCCTTTTCCCGGCTAATATGCTCCATTCAAACAACTATTTTTGACTATTCATTTGATCTCAAAGTATTTGGAGCTGCAGTCAAGTAGTCTGACACTTGAATCATAAGTGGGTGTTGTGTGGAATCTGGAGTGCAGGAACAGTTGCTAGATACAAATTCTAAAATAACATTAATTGTAGGTAAATTGGGCCCTTGGCCAAACTAAAGAAGGGTTAAAAGGATGTACTGCTTTGTAGTCTGGTGTAAAAATACACAGGCAGAGGCATAGATGGATATTGTCTGCAAGCAAAACTGACAGCAACAATTGTAGCCCTCTACAAACATCAGGAAGGACATACCTTGAAATATCCCCCCAGTACCACTCAGCATCTTGCAGAGACATGATGCGGCTAGTACCGTTGTTTATTACAGGACTGGGTTTGGGAGGTTTTGGTGGCAGTGCTGAAAGAAAGAACATACAAAATTAAATTTTGCCCACTTAATGCTAAAAAGTCACAAAATATTTGCTAAATCTATAACGTATCAAATAACAGTACGTTTCTCAAAAAGAAAACCTCTGCACAGTAACTCCAATTAGCAAATCACCTATACAATGCTCTACGTTGCTAGGCAGAGTCAGCCTTCATTGACTTGCAAAAGAGGTGACGAAATGCAGCCTGAAGAAAGAAGTACTTTGAAGACCAAATAAATGAATGCATGCGCCTTAGCCCCGAGAACGTCACCACATCAAACTGCTAAAAGCATCAATCTGTGACCCAAATATGTCTGATGCTAATCTCTGCATAAAATACAGCATTTTAATCTGCCTTATTATCGCACAAGCTGCCAATGTAGCAACAATGAAAGACAATATACAATGCAATTAACCTAGAAGAGAAGCAACTCGAAGATCCCATCCAGCGCCAAGTCACAGAGCTGCTGCTGAACAAAAGACTGCCACTGTCAGAAATGAAAAGGTTACATTGTTACCTGGTGCATCCATCTCAATGTAGAAAATCAGATCTGCCTCGTAATGTATGTCTAACTTGTCATAATCCGGGCTGCCTTCATCCACACGCCACATAGTGTTGCACATAGTCCAGATAAGTAATACAGCCCAGAGCTCCTTTGAAATGCTGTCTTGGAATTAATTTTAAAACCCTTAAGGGGCTGCACAGAAACCTATTACATCATCCGAGCCGTCCAATCAAATGTACTAAAAGACGGGCCACTCCTGTGTCTCTGTCCGTCTTCCACACTAACCTTACATTCACATTTGCACTGGAGGAATGTGATTTGCATTGGATGGGACCATAAAATGCCTGTAATAAAAAGGCTTTTCATCTGGCTCCTTTTGCATCGGACAGAAGGGCTTGCACAATGCAATTCCCTCCTTATGAGCGTGCGGAATGGTTCATTCCGCTGCTGGCAGCCTGCTGAGCTGATCGGCTGCAGCACGTACCACTGACAATCGCCTCTCTTGTGTGAGGAGCAGGCACAGCGACATGCAGCAATGTCTTACTAACATGATGTCATGCAAATAGCCAGACAGCTGACCAGACGAGCTGGAACGAGGCATTCCTGATGCAGATACAAGGATTTCAATGTTCAGCTATCCCGTGTTAAAGTATCATGTCCAATGCAAGTCATGTCACTTCCTGAAGGTGCAATGACTAACTCATGTCAAACAAAGCTTGAAAAATTCCCACGCCAACGCTGTATGAAAACCAATGTTACCTTGCTGATATCTCTGTATAGCTAGGAAGGGGAGCCAACGCATCAAAGATAAACTCGATTTACAGCAGATGCTGAACTTCATGGGTGAGAAGGACATTAACCTCTTGTAGAAAAAAACAACCTTATTTGTACCAAACACTTCAAAATCCCGGTGTAGTTTAGGCTTTCTAAACCTTTTCTGCCCGACTCCTTCATTTTATCATGGTGGGGAAATTCACTGAAACAAAGGGTTGACCCTATCTGTACATTAAAGCTCAAGTTGGCCTATGGGTCTGAATGAGAAAAAAACATCAGTGTATTAGCCAACTTTAAGCTCTCCCCATCCACACTGTTAACATGAACCTTCCCCTCTGGGCTATTGTTCTCGGACAGTGGCAAGCGTGCAGCTGTCAGAATACCTGGATAGTGACTGCATCTGACTGGATGTTTGGCCGGAAGACTTCAGACCATCTTCACTGACAACAGTGGACTCCAAAATCGAGAAGGGGTGCCGAATGGATCACACATTAACCGAGTCAGTAAGGCTCGACCCAAATTTGACCAGTGTATGGCCAGCTTAAGTTTTGCTTGCTACTGAATTCTTACACCTGAAATGTCCGGAGCTACACTTTGCCATCACCTGCAAGATGTCAATATCCAACAATATACAGGAAGACACTACAGAGATGTACAACTATAATCAGCTGTCACTTAGGTCAAATTTACAGCCTTTGCACACTATTTGTTTGCATGTATAGGGTGACAAAGGGCAAAAAAATAAAGACATACAAGCACTATATATATATATATA